ATTTTTTAAAATCCTTGAAATATTTTAATTAAATTAAATAAAAAAGATAATCATTTTTTCTGAGCTAGGAGTGGGGCGGGGAGAAAAAAGCTAATCGAGTGAGAGGAGTAGGGACTCAAGCTGAGCAAGCGAGAGCTCGTGTGGGCCGACCCATGTGGGTGTTATACCAGCAATTTCATGATTTTAGCGTGGAATATGAGCTCTCAAGAAACTCACACGACCACCAACGGCTGGCACCGAGACTGAAACATGTAAAGACACCACACACCAAACAACTTTATTCTCCTGTAGGAACATAATATCTCCAACAAGAACCCGACATGATATACAAATGAAAAAACGCCTTCAGAAAATAATTCAAACACAACTCAAAATAAATGAAATCCAAACAAAACAACTGACCGCAACAATCTACTAAATATAAATGAATTAATCCCATATGTGAAGCACGGCGCGGCAAAGCTCGTGTTAGCCTCTAGTACATTCGATTCATAAAAAAAGTTACTCCCTCTGATCCATTTTAGTTGTCACTGAAAACTACCTGCCACCTATGCTCCGCCATCCATTCCAAGTTTAGGGACCTAGGTTATAGTATCCCTATCAAAGAGCTGACGAAAGGGGATGAGCGGAAGAGGGGTGCTAGATACATCCGTTTGAGCGACAACCATAGTTACCGGATTTGCTGGGAGAGGCCTCGAACTCCAATCTAAATCGAACGGCCATCAGAGTTTGAATTCGGTCGGTTCAATCGAAAATTGGAGCCTGATTCGCCGAACCCTAATCGGTCAAGTTTTCTCCTCATTCGTCTCCTCCATCCACCAGAGCATGAGCGCGACGGGAGAGATAAGGCAGGGAGAGGGGAAGCGTATTACTAGGGAGACGTGCTAGAATAAGAAGAGAGGAGAGATGCGTGCCTGAAGCCACGAGATAGAAGATGTGTTTGTGTACCTGAAGCCAGCATATTAGGTTTCCATTCTGTAGTGGGCTCAATGGGCTGTTTTTTCGTTACGTACATGGATCAGATGTGGCCCACCTAGTGTGTACGTCTCCATATAAAAGAAAAATACACTTTATACTAGGGGCGGCGAATCGTAATTGTCGGGTTTGCGAACCCCTTCTACGATTCGCAAATCGGAGATGTGTACCCCATGTCGAATCCGATTCGATAGATATATATAGAGAATTTCGATTCGCAAATTTGAATTGCGAACCGAGCGAATTGCGAATCAAGTAACTATTGTGACAATTAATATGGATTAGAGTTAGTAGAACATCTTATATTTGTGAACGGGGAATAGATTGCATTTCCTACGTACCTTGTATAATAACTGAAAAATTTAATATCGGGGTCAAAATATTGTTACTTTTAGTTTTGTTCTTAGCTTAATGATTTAGATATTTTGTTCTACATTTCTTCATTGCATGTAAATTTATTAATGGAAGTTAAATAAAAGTTGTGCATTGCGTCGAAGTCTGTTTTGCCCTTTTAAATAAAAATTGGGCTTTGTGGTGGGATCTTTTGATGGGTGGGTCCCATTGGTAAGTGCCTAGGTAGCATGGGTCTTGGTTGGCAAGAAGGAAGCGCCAACCATGGCATGCTTAGCACCAACACAATACACGTGGCACATAACTCCCTCACGT